GCTGTGTGACCTTAGGCAAGGCCCTTCCCCTCTCTGTTCCCTGGCGCCCACCTGGTGGCACTTGGGAAGCACCCGAGGGCCAGCACTGTCCACATGGTGCCATGGCCTTGCTCAGAGTGTGAGCCGGTGTCCCTGCGTGTGATCACTCTAGGACAAGATCTAGAGCATATGGTTTAAGTGAGGAAGGGGTTGAACCCAGAGTGCATGAAAAACAATCCAAAGGGCCAATCCGAAACCTACCAAAGATAGAAGGCAAAAGAGGCCGGTGTGCACTAAGCTCTTGCCACCTTCCAGGCATTGCAGCCCATTGCTCTCTCTACTTCCACACATCAGGCCGAACCTGTCCTCTAGGGTTTTTGTGGAGGCTTCATTCCATAGGCTAGACTGATGAAAGCATTGGCCATTGGCCATTGATTGAACCTCCAGCCCCTCTCCCGTCCTCAGAAGTCATGGGTGGGACCAAAAGTTCCAACCCTCTGATCACAAGGTTGGTTGTCCTGGTGACCAGCCCACATCCTCATTAACATGACAAGAGACACCTTTGTCACTCTGGACAAAGACATGTATATGAGAAACAAGTTTTCTCATCTGAATGGCTAAATAGATATTCTTCTTACAAGTCACAACATTGCAAACATGGCTCCAGTCTCTGCTTCTGTGCTCACAGGACGCCCTCCCAGGGGTGTGTGCAATCTCTCTCCTCTTCTAAGGATGTTTGGATCTCCTTATTGCCTCAGTATTTGTCAAATGATTGCTGGATCCTAAATTGCTTCTCAAAATATGTCTTTCTTCATGTTCAGCAACTGATCATGTGGAACACTTGGGCTCCCCATGTGAATTAGCTATTATAATACCTTGCTCATGTTCATCTGTCCAGAGTTTGCAGTTACATTTGCAAGCAGCTTTGCTGTTAGTGACCTTCAAGCTTGAAGGTGGTCCTCTTGACTTTAGGTGTCATTGAAAAGACCCCTAGATACTTTGTTTTGGGGTTTGGGGGGCATTGGTAGGTTTAGCTTGTATTTGTAGGACCCAGGACTCTATATATGCATTTATGTCAGGTAGATCTCTAGAAGTGTAATTGTTGGGTTAAAAGGCAAGTGCATTGAAAACCTTGATAGATAAAACCAAATTGCCCTCCAAAAAAGAAACCAGTCCCTGGATTAGGGTGCTTCCTACTGCACTGTGACTTGCTCTTAACTGCAAGGTCTGCAAAACCCTGTGCCCATATAAGCTGGCATCCACAGGTCATGGGGGTAAGGACACCAACGTATCTTTTAGGAGGACACGGTTCAACCCACGACAAAGGAGTTTTCCTACAACAAAGCTGTGACCTCTACTCTGGGACCAGGACAGCATTTCCTAAGACGCTGGTGGCGTCCTAGAGACAGCGGCTGTGTAGGCATCACGGGGAATTCGGCGTGCATCCCTGTCTCTGGACAAGCTTCACCACCCTGCTGCGGCCAGGGGTCCTGGGCGTGCCCTTTGTCCATCTGTCTGGTCACAGCTTGAGCGGTTCTTGTCCTTATTTGCTGAGTATTCCAGAGGAGACCCGGGACCCAGAGCCTCTGGCCCCCTGGCCTGCACTCTGGCTGCTGCAGCCCTCCCCAGACTAATTAACCAACACAAATTGACGGGAGGGAGAATGTGAGCTGGGCATCCCTGTGTGCATCCTGGTGTGGGTTAAATTCTGAGATTCACGGCCTGGCTATCACCACTCATGTTCCACAGTGTGTCGAAACGTCGAATGAGCACCTGCCCTACCCTAGGCCCTTCCTATGCCACCTGACATTGGAGGGACCACGGGGCTTCCAGCTTAGGTCTGAGTCAGGGCAGAATAGGGGTGATCTGGCATGCAGAGCACTCACTGCCCCCTCCCCGCAGTGAGGCGGCCACGAACCTGGGTGGCTGTCAGGGACAGGGTGTGGCCAGCCAGTAGATGATGCAGAACCAGCCCACATGCATAGTTCCCTTAGAGTTCTGGGTTCACTAGGCATTGGGCAGCGTCGTCACCCACCTGCTACCTGGGCCGTAGTCCCCGCCTTAGCCTGGGGTCCTTCAAGTATTTGGGATAAGATGCTCAGTGTCCACATACCACACACCGGCATCAGGAAACCCGGGCTCTCGGGGTCTGATCCTCTACCTGGGGGCCCCTGTGCTCCTCTTCATGAATGTGGCACCTGCCTTTTTGTCTGCAAACAACCTAGAACCCCTATTTGAATTAGTGACTTCCTCCAGCACAGTTGGCTGATTCAACTTGAAGCGGAGGTCTCGAGACCCCGTGGGCGGGCTTACCTTGATGTATTTGCAGCCTCCAAGAGACGAGAGCCTGAACAGCCTTCTTCAGGAATACCAGATCTACTACTGGGAGCTGGAGTCAGAGGTATGCTCAGCCACCGTGTCCAAGATGCTCAAAACCCCTTCGGCTTTACAGGCTGAGCTCCCAGGTGAGACACTTCCCTGTCCTGACACAGGCGCCGCCCTGAGCACCCAGGAGAGGAACCGTTGTGCATGTTCTCTCTGTGCAAGGCATTGTGGGAGATGCCCTGGAGGGCCAGAGGAGATGGGGCTCACCTCCAGGGGGCACAGCCACTGGGGTGGATAGGTCTCTGTGGCAGCCCAGGTGTGCA